CATCCCTACAAAGCCGGGACGGAGTACGCCGGGTTCTCACCGGACCAGGCTCTTCACTATGGAGAGGGTAATTTCGAATGTACAAGTACAGTAGCATGCAACAAGAGATGACAGAATACCGTAATATCAGTCACCCGGCGGCGAAAGCAGGCGGCGTACTCACGTTCTCCACCATACCCTTGGTGTCCGAGTAGAAGGACGCCTTAAAATTGGGTGCGTCGGACTCGAGAAAACCCTTTCCCCCGATCGTGTGTTCGGCATCGTATTCGTAAATGCACCTTTGTCGCGACCGAACGGAAGGTGAAAGGTTGGTTTCTAGCTACACGCATAGTTAAAAAATGACGTGTTGATATATATATAATAGACTTGTGGTATCGAAAAGTATAGACCTAGCAGCATCTTAAGAAATGGAGATGTGCTGTTCCATCATAGCTGTTCAAAATTTTGCGGATTCAGTAAGTGGATGCAGCGTTTTGCTTCCTAGGATAGCCAGAGCGGGCACTCAGAAACCCACCATCCATGGCGGTCCATGACGGTGAATGTGAAACTACGTACGCATGCTGTACGTTCTTCTCCACAGTACTGAGAGGCACCCAGTCGTACATGTATGGCTTGAGGCAAGATGGTGCAAAGGACGACCCGACAACCCCAGTGCTACTGTAGAGAAGGGCCTGGTGACTAGTGGCCATACTCTTACTGCAGTAAATGGCATGCTATCGTGGTTTGAACATCCAGATATTCGCCTTGTCTGCTTCTGAAACAAGCGTCTATATGTTAGCTTCCTTCGCCACCAGCCTATACGATATATTCTTGGGTACATGTATAAACTGCAAGGCGTACCCGGTGGCGTATATTGTGCAGTGAATACCCTTGCTCGAGCACAGGTCCGCCAGGTTGAGCGTGCCGATAACGTTCGCCCGGACCGTCTCTGGGCGGTGGCTCTCGCACCAGTCCACGTTTGGCCGCCCCGTCTGGTCGTGAACGATACACCATAATTCCGTTCAAAACAACAAGAAAACACGCAAAGCGTACGGGAGAGAAGCATCACGGATCGGGCAGATGGAAACTGTCAGAGAGACATCCTTGGTGGACGCGGACGATATTCTGCTACAAAACGAAGGTATAATTTACGCGGCGAACCCAGGCAAACCTGCCGCTGAAAGCTCCCGCGGGCGGCGGCTTGCCACTCTGCTTTGTCCGGATAAACACCAGGGTGTGCTTCTCCACTATAATTTTCACGACGTCTGTAGAGACCGGACCGGTTCCGTGTTGCGAATGGGACAATGCACCAACACGCCGTCGATCATGCCACCGGCACAAAAAATATTGCAAGAACGAGCACAACAAATCGTCACTCACCACACCGGCGGCGTTGAGGACATGGGTCGGCTTGATCGTTTCAAGCTCTCTGCACGTGGGAGGGAGAGGCCAGAGCGGGGGAACAAGACGTGAACACCGGGAACGATGTACGGCACAATAAAAATGAAGAAATATTATGCCAAATGAAAAACGTACCGGCAGCACGCCAAAGAACTAACCCCACAACACCCGCCACCGGACTTTCTCCTGCGGTTCACCAGCACGAACACAACAGAGTACAAGCACACAAACAAGATGCATGTGCTTGTATACTGGCGTTGTGTCGTCATCCCATGCGTTGCTCATCACTCAAAGAGTGTTTTATCTATCCTATGGTCTTGCCTCTCTGGCTGACAATCTCCGATAGGGGATCACACGGAAGAACTCCTCCGTGCACGCCTCGAACCAAACTGGTTGCTACAGAAAGATGTGCGGATTTCTTACAAATGTCACGTCATCAGGACTCGGGCTCCCTGCTTGGCCGCTGGACGGGCTCGCGGTGACCACTAACATACTGTTCAACTGTTGGGCTTTTGATAATACATCAACGAACGGCAGGATTGGGTCCCTGGTTGACAGCCGTGCGCAGTGAAATGCAAACGCGGTCGTTCGTGTGAGGCATACGAAACGTTCTGGCAATGTTGACACTGCTGCCTCCTCCAACCAGTTAGGTACTGCAGGAGCGGTCAACAAGACTGGGGTAGGAGTACGACGAAAGGTAGAACAAACTCAAAGGAGCCAATCACCCAACTCATTGTGTGCATATGAAGGAAGCGAGTCGTTCCCGGCAGGGTGGCGAGTCGGTAAACCTATGCCCTCGTTTGCTTGGTAAAAGGTCAAAGGATTGAGCTCAGGTTCTCACTTAAGTACGCTCTCTCGGTTCTCGAGCCTGGAGTCGGCAAGGTGCACCGTCTTCCCCTGCGCCCTGAGGAGGGTAGTGAGTTTCCCGCCCAACCAGCCGGTCTTTCCGTACAGCAGGTACACCTGCAAAATCGTTTCAAAATTTCGGTGAGAGTACTATCAGGGGCTACACCGTCATCCTGAAGGTTGAATATCTCTCACTAGCATGATGTCGTGCCTTTTCGCAGCCCCTGCTCTCTCGTGAGCCCGTTTTTTTTCGGCATGTACGTTGAAACCGTTTCCTGTTGTTCTTTCCGCTCCCCCACGGGAAGAATGTAGCGGGCACGATCCGAGATTGTCGCGCCACGCGGCGCGCTGTGTCGGGAGCTGCTGGCGTTGGAAAGTCGCTGGAAATCAAGCATTTGGCTCTCTCGGTGGTTCCGGTCGGTTCGGATTATTTTGTTGTTCTACGTCACAACCAGCTGTGGTCATAACTAAAGCCACAACATGATGGCATTTGGCAGCGGCAGCAGTCTCTATCTCCCGTAGCTCTCAGTCCTTCTTTCGTTGTTCCTGCAGCTCCCGGACGGGAATGATGTACGCACAGCGCGCCCCGCGCGTAGCGCGCCCACTGTGTGCACTGCTGTGAGTCACGACAGCTACCCGCACGGACACGTACACCATCGTCTCCAAGCAGATAACGAAGTATGCTCTTTCTTTATTTCGGATCAAATGTTTTTTTTGGGAACGAACTTCAACTTGCGTGTGTCCGACTCGGTACCACAGCAAAGCATGTACTAGTAATACCTCCTGCAGAGCACTTACGAGATGGTACAGCTATACTTGAAGCCATGCACGGTGTGATGTGATGGGTTACTGCTGTACCAATGTAGAGCCAAGCGGAGAAACATCTTCCAAAACGTGGGAGAAACAAACACAACTTGCTGGATTCCGAGGCCGTCTATCTGGATACTGCTGCTGCATTCATTGCTGTAATCCTGCACGGCCATAGCATCAACCAGAGTTACACACAGAACAGAGCACACACAAACAGAATCGCCGTTCGTGCGGATGTGTGCCGCGGGATCAGCGCCGTGCAACCAAGCGGTGTGATGAGGCACTTCTTTCAATATCAGACTGCGAACCTTCCAACCTGGATCTATGCTCCTTTCGCACTACCACCTCAGCAGTATCTATCCGATCCTCGATCTCTAGCACCAGGTAGGTAGCTGCTGTGCATAGCGTTAAATTGTACATGTAGTCAGCTGTGCATGATGTCTCCAAGTAACATCGCATAGCGCTGCCTGTGTATGTGGGAGGTGCAATACGACGGGACCGGGGGTCGCAGCCTGCCCAAATCTAATGCTGCTGTACTTGGAGTTCAATAGCCGTGCAGCTGTACAACGTTACCGCATATAATGCGCTTTAGAATGGCACTCACGCTCGCGGAAGGAGACTTACAAGTACACGCCGCCCAACTATGTACATCGAGGTGCGATTCCATGTGCCGGCCACGAAGGGGTGATCGCAAATTCCGTCGCACAGCCTGCTCAGAAATAAATATGTGTATCAAGCGCGCGAGGAACCCACGAATTGACTGTAGTAGTCCGGGTTGGTGATAGTAAAGTCGTCGACATTAACGACAAAATCAAATCTACACCACTTGCCGATCAAGTTTACATTTTCTTATATTTACCTACGGGTATTAGGCGAGCCCGGCTGCCCAGTAGGGGGGCGGGCGAAGCACCTTTGTACTATTCGGGCCCATACTTCTGCCGTTTTTTTTCACATCCCGGACCAGCCGTACCGAGCACGCGAAGCGGTCCGCTATCTGCTCATGAGTGACCTTGGCGTCCATGAGCTTCAGCATCTCAAGCTTGGCGTCCAAATCCGGCCGCGCAAGAGACCCCTTACGAGAAGGCTGAGACTTCATACTCCCCCCATTCGTGACCTTCGGGCGTTTCGATTGTCCCCTTCAACCGGTGTCAGCTGCTGGCGCCTTGCGCTTGCCGTCCTTGGCGACGCACGCACTGCAGATGCGGTGCTGTTCGTTGTCGCCAAACATGCTGCCGCAATTGCCGTGGAGCCGCCCGCCACATCCTCCCTTGTAAGGGTGGCCGTGTGGGGCCTGCGGCGTCTTATCCTGTTGAGCGCACAGTTCGCCTTCCGCACATGGCATGGTACGCCCCTGCGTAGAGCTCTTCTGGTCTGCAGCAGAACCTGTACCCTACTCCTCTGTCTAGAGTCTGTCCTCTGCCTGGTTGTCTGTGTGTGTGTGTGTGTGCTGTGTGTGTTCGCGCGGGGGGATGAACCGACACTATTGAGGGTGACAGTGGCGCCCAACCGGCACTATACCGGGCATGCTCACAATAGCGCCGGTATGACACTATTGAGGGCTCCGCCTGTGTCCGGAGATTTTACCGGCACTAAACCGGGCACCTGGCACTATTCAACCGGCACTATAAAGGTCCCTCGACTGTATTTTCGTCTGTTTGCCGGCTAATCTTCTTTTTATCCACAACAGACGCACCCCCATCAAACAGAGAGACCGTGGGAGGTACACACTGCTGTAGGCCAAGGCCGACGAAATACACACATCGGAGGCTTTGGGGTCGAATTTTAGAGCCCGTTGCAGCTGCTAGCAGCGTAGGCGACGGAAACAAGTGGTGCACATCCACACAGCAGCAGCTGCTGCTGCAGCAGCTCACAGCAAGCAGCTGATTGATGAGAGCTTCGTCCACACCAAACAAAACTTTCACTCGTCCCTGCGCTGCTACATAGCGAGAGTCCTGAGTACACGGCTGACTGGGGTCGTCGGGTGAGGTGTGAGCGAGTGGCAGTGGTGACCTCTGTGTGAGGTTCATCTGTATCTGTCTACGCCCCTGTTTGAGTCTCTCCGCCCCTTCTTTTTGTCGCTAGATGGGAGGTTAGCCAGAATTTTTCCAAGACGATGTACGGGGTACGGGGAGCAATCTCCACACGAAATGAAAGAAAATCTTGTCCGTCAGGAAGTAACGAGCCAAGCCTTCAGCTCTTGATTGACTCGAGCTAAGACCAATCCACTCGCAACCGGATACGGCATCATGGACGAATCATACCGGACAGCCATCTCGAATTCTTTTTGTTTAGTCCAAGGTGCGTCCGCATCTGCATGTATCTTAGGTACATTGCATTGCACAAGCGTCTGAAACACCCACTACATAAGCTACAGCGAACGTTCAGAGGGTGATAAACACAGCAAGGATATCGAGTTGCCGCCCCCTTCAGGAACCTAAACCCTACAAGGCGACATGTGATGTGGGGCCTTCAGGAGCCTAAACCACCCAAAGAGACTTGTGACATCGGGGCAAGCTGCGAGCACGGGTGTTGATCGGATGATCTCCGTGTTGTGGCCCCGGCCTGCCCAAGACCCGAGTTGTGTTGGAGGCAATGAGCGGTCGTTGGTGGCTGCTAACGGTGCAGACAACGAAGACTGCAGTTTCTGCGTAACTTGGTGCTTCGGAACACCAGGAAAACTGCTGCCCCAGATGTCTACTGCCTCGTGTGCACGGCAGGCACAGGTGCGTGGGTTCTCACATTTTCTACAGCTGTTGTTTGATGAGGAACCTCTCGAGGCTGCTGGGTTGCTTCTTTTTAGTACTCACCTGGTCAGACATTGCTCTCTGTGGCGTCCTGTAGTGACGATGTCCTTGTTGCTAGAGACTGGCCTTGCGAGAGAAGGAAAAGGGAAGGAGGAGGGAGAGCAGCGTCACGCTAAAGGCTCCTCGGGTTCCCAGTTCGGTTCGGGCAGCAGGAAATTTCGCCGCATTCTCCGGTGGCGGGGTGGATCTTGGGGGTGGATCGATCTTCGTACAGCAGGGGCGGCTACGGTTTAAGAGACTAGAAAGTACCGATTTTAGAGAGCAAATACTGGCTTGTCACGACCATCTCTTAAACCGTAGCCACAACTGTACTGAGATTTCGAAAACGACCGTCAGAGCACCCAGCGATCACACGCGAGATGCGTATCAGCGAAAGAGCGGTTGGGATGTGTTCTGCAGGGGGGAAACGCGTACATGCCGCAAGGAGGAGCTGCTGTCGACATGCATATATATATAGACTATACCTCCACACTTTTTTTGTCTGCCAATCAAGACAACTTCCATTTCTCTAACTTCTTGACAGGCGGCACGGCGAGGGCTTTACCAAGTCCTCTGCGTTGAAAACTATCGTGTTCGATGCCAAACCTGTGGAGGGCATCATGTGGCGGCGATACGCACGTTGGCACCCCCAGTTCTGTTGCTGGGGCGTGCTGTTGAAGGCTGAAGGTGCCGTCCAAACATCCACAAACTGGGTCCACGTTTTTCACAATCAACAAGTACAAAGTAGTAGGCTTGCTGTACGCGCCGTCACAGACCCGACCCCCCAAACTGTTGGTCGTCCAAGGCAGCCAATGATGTGAGCTACTACGGGAGGTTGGGTCTGTATCGGCGCGTACAACAAAAGATGGGTAGTCCGGACCGCAGCTTCAGCCGTCGACAGCACGCCCCCAGGAACAGAACTGGTCGCGTCAACGCGCAAGCCGCTGCTCCATGATGTCCTCAACCGGTTTGGGATCCAACATCAACAACACGTTCGAAGCCGGAATGTCGCCGTTGTGAGTATTTGCCTTGATTTAGACCAGAGTATCTGACATCGGGGTTTTCATCACCATTCCTTATCGAATCTGTATCAGACTCAGAGCGGCATTTGTTGCATGCGTTCATTAGTGGTGTCTATGTTTTCGCTCTCTAGCAAACTAGGTTCGACAGCAGTCGCGACCGCACCGATGCAGCGACCGATCCTTCCCGTTACCTAGAAGAACCTTTCGCCGACATCCATGTATTCGTGCAGTCATAGAACACATGGAATACACACCGACGACGAAGTCCGTCCCCGACGAAAAACACCAGGTGGCACACCATAGTTGTCCACGACAAGGGCCACGAAGAGACAGAAAGTCAGCATGCTTGCCACACGCGAACACGAATCCGCGATAACGGGAAAGCAAGTGCTTCTGCTCCTGTCTGTCTCAGTTGCCGAAGACCCCGAGGGCACAGCCGATTTCACGACCAAAAACAAACACCAGCGAGACGGAGAGACAGAGCATGAGCGAAGGTAATAGTAGGAATCGCCGCGGCAGCAAGGAACACTTCCTGGAAACACGATACTGCGATCACCTTGTCATTATTAACACCGACAATCATACATGCTGTATTCAATCAAGATGCCGAGATCCAAGGCAGGGTACTGTCATGTTTGCCACGGTAGAATCCACCACCACCCATGAACGCACAGAAGCAGCTCAAACACAGAATTACCTGTACTGGGGACACGCTTCATTACAGCAGCCGACTAAAAACCAACCGTGGAAAGAACATGGGCTCAGAAAAGCGTGCCAGCACTTAACATACACGACTTGCTTGACATAGAATACATTATTTATACTGTACTCGAATCGTACCTTGCACACTTATGCCTCGCGCAATGTTGTCGTCTTTGTCTTCCTCCTACATACTTAGTTAATCCAAACTGCAAAACACAAGTCAAACCAAAGTCGACCCTAGCGCCTCTGTGCAGAGAACAAAGGCATTGAAATAAGGATGGGCGTGTGGGTCGCGATATCGTTCAAAATCGATCATATTTTCATGCGATGGCGTCGTGATCTCTTCTCATAGCTGCTTGCATCTCCGCGTGCGCCACGAGGGTCTTGTGCCTCGCCATTTTTTTATCCCGGATTCGTTTCACGCAGCAGAGACCCTGATGTGACACCCGTACAACAACAAAGACAACGAGGGGTGAGGTGAGAAACACTATTACTAGTTGGAAATGGAGACTTGCCGAAGCAGTTGACTTGATATCGAAACAACTAAATGTAAGTTTTGGTGAAATCGCTTCTTTTTGAGACAAGGAACAAAAAAACGTGGTCGAGATGATCACGGGTGTTGTGAAGCGGTCAAGCGACCTTAAGCGCTCAAGAGAAGTGAGGTCGAGTTACCCACGTGTAGAAAACCAAGCTAGGGCTAAGGTCGAGCGAGGAAGGACAAGATTGAGGCACACGAGAAGGCCGGCATTGGTGTACGACTCATACAACGATTGACGCATGTGGACTGGAAACACAACAATAGAATGAACGCGCTCCAAGGGACCATTTCTTGCACAGAGTAGCTGACTGCTGTGCCGGGCCGGTACCACTGCCGGCGTTAACCTGAAGCCTAGCATGCGGTCAGCTCCACAGACGCGTGTGTACTAAGTTGATATAAGCTCCACATATGCAAGTCCGACGTTGTCCGAATGCCACACCACAGAAGTGCTTGTGCTCACCAAAAGAAAGTAGAGCGCCCCGATGCCCACCATGATCCAGGCAACGATCGTGATGTACAGGCCAAAGCCTCCGAGGTCTAGCCCCTTTTCATCCTCCTCCTCCAGTACCAGGACACCGACGCTACGCAGGCGGCAGCAGAGTGCATTGTGATGCGTTAGTGAATTCTTTCACGAGGCAGGAGAGATAGTCTGGTCAGAAAAACATGGGATCTTCTGAAGTAGTACGACTATCCGCGGCTCTCCTGGGTAAGGTAAGTGCTTCAGTTCCGCAACGGCGTAGCTGATTGGACAACTCCTTTCCACAACAGCCAAAAACGCTACAACACGTCTACCTTGTTGGTTCTTGCAGATTTTCAGACAAACGGAGCTGTATGCGAATGTGAACAAGAAGGCACGCACGATTGAGGGAACGGCACCGAACGGGTCATTACGGATTTTTCAATAGACGCAGGCAATGCAATGAACAAGAAGAACCACGACAAGGGTCAGTTCAAAACTTGCAGCAAGCTGCGCCGCGGCTGATGCTGAAAGCGATATATCGATGCAACTTGTTCGGAATGCCATGAAGCAGTTTCCCAAAGAGACTCACAAGGAGTAAACCACCCCTCGAGGTATCCAGGAATGGAGCACGAACATTTCTCGAACCGTCGTTGTCCACTCCAGCTCCGCCATGATAATCAACATGCAGAACAAGATGTTGTAGCACCGAACAGCCACCGATTCCGCTGAAAATAACAAGTAGAGGGGGGCGAAACGGAACCAACAATCGTTTGAGCCGTCGGACTCAAACGAAAGCAAATTTACCCCATTCTCTGCAGGAGTCGGATGTTCGTAATCTGCGGTATATCGAGCAGCACCCATTCCGCTGTGAAGTCGAAATTCAGGCTGGATCATAGTCGAATATATTCGAGGCAAACGAAGAAGGCCCAATGCAGTTCAGCTCAAGCACGCGCCTCCAAGTTCGGAGAGGAGGATCAGCGAACAGAATGGTCAACACACGATTGGGGGCGGGAGGTTAGGACGCAAACGATACCTCTTCACTAGGCAACACGTACGGCACCTACAGCGGCCGCTACACCTGCCAACCACCGACAAAAAGCTGTATATTTCTACGGCTGTGCGATATCATCATCAACAACGATCATAGTATCGGTGCAAACCACACCACACCATCCCGGAAAAAAGTACTACTGCTACCTAAAATATTAAGAAGATCACCAAGTGGATCATTCGCGACCCGTACCCTGTCCTTAATGGAAGGCCTGCACGGCCGAGGCGGCAAAGTTTCATCCTCAGCGCGGAGGTAAGTACCTTCTACAATAATAAAATCGACGGGACAAGTCTTCCCTCTGTTTACTCACGCGAGAGGTCCTTGTGGTATGCCAGCACCATACCCTGCGCAACACCTACTCCCAGGGCCGCGATTACGGTGATGGCGTTGAGCAGCAGCAACGAGTCCAAGAGGCAGCCTCGACGCACCGTTCGGACGCCCGAATACTTTGTAGGCGGTATAGTTTGCGGCAGGCGATCGACGAGCGGGAATTTGTCGGACATCCGACATTTCGCAACCTTTGGTGTCCAATTGCTAAACGGAACAAACAGCGGAGTTACAACAAAGAATTTCGGCCACGATGTAAAATTGCGGTGTGATAGAAAACATTGCTACTTTACATCCGCCGTCGAGGGTTTTGGAAACCTTCTGACGAGCTATCGCGGGTGTTCAAAGCAGGCTACCGGAGGCAACAAGCATGGTGCCATGTACGGTGTGAACGATCAGGAGGCCGTGCGTGACAACCTTGAATACTTGCCACACGACACGAAAGACTAGGCAACACCCTGGCTATATGAACAGGCCTCGCTGTACGGCTCATCCGCCGGGTGACGGCCCTCAATCGTCCCAGCAACTGCTCATCGCACTCGTTGGTACATGCTGCCATTCCAATGCACCGTACTACACATCAGCACAATGCATCCCCCTAGCCAACTTGATCAAGGGGTATCGAGCCTAATGCTCCGCGACGTCTACTAACCACCCCATGTACCCAGTCGGTCACAGCTTTTGAGCAGACATGCGAACATAACATCTCTCCTTCGACGGGCAGTTTGAAGCTCACCCGTGCCATGTCTTCGTCGGAAAAATCTGAGTCGTAATCCGCCTCGCTGTCTGGCTCATCCGCCCCATCGACTGCCCCATGACCCTCCGTGCCCCTTCCAGTCTGAAGTGGGCTAGACTCCGTCAGCAAGGGGTCCAGAGCCCATTTCGGCATGTGAGGGTCCTCCTCCGACATGCCACCTGTAGCAGACCCGCGTACGGGAACGATACCCGCTACCCGGAAAACAAACGGGTCCAGGCACCAATGGGACCACGGCAGGGTTCGAGCAGGAGGGGCGACAGCCAGCGAACGAAAAAGTCAACAACCAAACGAATTTCGCGACGACGACAAAATTTCGGGAGAGCTTGCCTTCAAGGGTGTTCCAAGTCCCTTGGGAGTGCACTACTGTAGGTGTGCGTCAGGCATCACCGCAAGTCCTCTGATTCAACGGTGGATTCCTGTCATCTGGCATGCTTCACGCGCTACGTGAACAGTCGAATACTACACCACGTGCCATAGACTAGGCTTGTGCGAGCATGTTCGCCTTGAATGAAAAGAGCATACCACCGAAGAGGTCGTAGATACTAGACCCATACAAAGTGCACTTCTGTTTCCTCGAATGTCTGCGGGTGTGGTTTTTCCCATCTACCGCGCGATAACGCGTGTGGTCAGGTTTTTCAAATCATTTTTTGCCTGACTTTCTATCGCATAACTCCGATATGGCCAGTTGGGAATAGGGCAGATCTATCTGTAGAATGCATTGCTCTTTCGTACTGTGGAACGCTCTCATGCGTCATCCGAGAAGGAGTAGTGGTTGCCTGCGGTAGGCAGCGATAACTGAAACGTAGGGTTTGGTGCCACGTAGCGAGTGGCGAAATGTTGGACATTATAAGTACAAATAATATAATGTGCGCCTTGGGCGAAGGACGACATGCTTCCCTGCTGGGCGCACGTCCAATAGCTTCTGCTCGTTTATTTCTCACTCAGCGAGCAGCACACTGTACGAGTGCCTTCTGGAATCGGTAGCTTGTGAGTTGCGGGATAAGTGACATGTGCCTGTTTGAGTGCATACAATCGAAAACAACCCATTTTCGCGATTGAAATGCAGAGGCATGATACAGGAGAACACGAAAAGGACTGGCGCCCCGACGGTACCTAATACCGCATTCAAGAATACTGCAAATGGTATCATTTCAGCGAAAAATAGCCATCCGCAGCTAACCGTGGCATCTTACCTACCCCCGAAGCGCGGGGTTGGCGAGGATCAACAGGGGGGAAATAAATCCGGTTCGGGGTCATCCGTTGCCCCTGTGCGATGCCACTGGTACCCACGCGGCAACCGTGTAAATCATCCAGTTCTCGCTTTCTCTCGCACTCTATGTACTGCGGTGGCTGCAATGGGTGCCAAACGTCCGCGAGCTACCACGCGCGTGCAAACATCTGATATTCTAGGCACACAACACAAATCATTCATGATCCTGTTGCCGCCGCTCAGCAGATCGGAGCCTACAGCAGTCCTCAAGGTTGTCGCTAAGTTCACCTCTATTATATGGAGTCCCTTGGTCGAGCGATTCAATCTGTTTAGTTTTATGTTATGTGCTGTGTACACCGTCCATAATAAAGCGTGCTGTGCGCGAATGGCAGCAGTCGGACGCAAACGTACACACAGCAGTAGGTTGCAAAAGATATCACACTCAAATAAGATACTACGCCCCCGAGAAACTACACAATGCCACACCCGTGTGCAATATTTTCTAACCCCCCGCATAGACCCCCCCCCCGGTGTTTGCCATCGGGGTTGGGTTTTCGTCGCTTGGCAACGACGTTGTAAAACAAGCCGCCCCCCCCGGTGTCACCCTTTCGCAATCTAGACTTCAGTGGGTTGGCGCTGTTGGCAAAGCGCTGTAAAACACGCCACCCCAAATATAGCCCCCATAGTATGCGCTACCAAAGACGCGTGACGCATGGATGCGCGGAGTGAGGATTGCTTACGAAAACCTCACAGGTTGAGTGATGTAGGAGATTGCCGGACACATAGACGTGTTGAGTGATTATAGCTGTATACTGAAACCCCACGGAAAGGGGAGGTTTGAGATTGCCAGACACATAGACGGGTTGCGTGGGGATAGCTGCTGGAACCCCACGGGTTGAGTGATGTTGGAGTGCCGGACACATAGACGCGTTGAATGAGGATAGACACATATT